CATCCATCCATCCATCCATCCATCCATCCATCCATCAATCCATCATCCATCCATCCTTCCATCCATCCTTCCATTCATCCATACATTGAGAGACATAGTCTCTCCAGTGTGTCCTGGCTCTTCCCCAGGGTCTCCTCCCAGTCAAACATACCTGGAGCACCTCTCTGGGGAGGCGCCCAGGGAGCATCCTTACTAGATGCCCGAACCACCTCAACTGGCTCCTCTTGATATAGAGGAACAGTGGTTCTACTCGTCTGTCCTGGACTCTTCTGGTCCAGCTACCCTGCAGAGAAAACTCATTTTGATCACCTGTATCTGCAGTATTGTTCCTTCAGTTCCCACCCACAGTTCGTGGCCGTTGGTGAGTGTTGGTAAACAGAGATCTTTGCCTTACAGCTCAGCTCCCTCTTCACCACAAATCGACAGAGTCTGCAATACTGCAGATGCTGTACCAATCTGTCTGTCAATCTCCTGCACCATTCTTCCCTCACTTGTGTAAAAAAAACCCCGAGATACTTGAACTCCTCCACTTGAGGCAGAATCTCACCCTCAACCTGAAGAGAGCAATCCACACTCTTCCAATGAGGACCATGCCTCAGATTTGGAGGTGCTGATCCTCATCCAAGCTTCTTCATACTCGGATGCGAATCGCTTCAGTAATATGCAGCTGGTGCTTAAAAAATAAAAATAAATAAACATTAAGGGTACAAAATGAGAAGCATCAGGGCATAAAACAAAATAAAACTACAGCAAATATCTAAAAATCACATTTTCAAGAAATAAGAGAAACTCCAGCAAAGATGCATCAACCTTCAGCTGATCAATAACTGATCATTTTGATTTGGGGATCACCTTGCTGGAGCCAAACTACTATTTCACGCATCAAACAGTGTTGTCTTGGGTCATTTTTACAGATTCAGCTTACCAACCAGGAACAAATTGTGTTTTTGTGACAGCCTGCTGGTAACAAGGTGCCTAAAGATCCAGTTGAACATCTTTGGTTCTTCCTTGAGTTTCTGATTCCTTTAATTATTTAATAATTAATAGGTCAGGGATAGGTGGTTTAAAGTCTGAAAACGATCAAGAATCAGAATCAGACATCTTAAAAAGATGACATGTGGGATGGTTCAAGACCTCAGTATGTCCGCTTCACCTTCTGCTCTGTTTGTATCAGGGTGAAGACTGGGAGTCCCAAACTTTTACGTCACTACGGAACCTTTGCCAGACGAAGCACATTTATTGCAGATATTGGAGAGTTCATTGGTCTTGCTTTCTTTCTGGGCGTGCTGTGGAAGAGCGGATGGGAAATTCTGACGTCATCAACCTTGGCGCAGCGGGACGGAGGAGCATGCGGGCCCTCAGGGTGCCACGATTGGTGCCCGTGTGTTTGTGCCCAGTAGATGGTGCGGTGCTGCCCGCCTGTGCTGCACCTGCGTCTCAGCATGCTGATTGATCAGTTTGGTCATGTGGAATGTCACCATCTGCTCCCCGGTCCCTCTCACCTCTTTTCTTGTGTGAATGCCAGTCACTGGCAGGAAGATGGTTATTTAAGCCATGTCAAATCAGGCGCGTGACGATGAGCGGTGCGCCAACAACACTCTGACTGGGTTGGAAGTGTAGCACGGACAACACAAAATAAAAACAACAACCACTCAAACTGCAAAGACACTCAGGTTTTCTTATTGCAGAATCCTGTTTGTGACTGTGATAAAATATTAATTAAAATGTTTGCATTTATTTGTTTCTCCTCCAACCCTTTCCTTTTTCTTAATGGCCAGCGAGGTATCATGGGGCCATCGGGAGTGACATTCTTCACTGTAGACCGTCAGAACAAATGACATTTCAGTCACAGAAAAAGAAATAAAGATATGCAAATAGGATCTCATTAACATTTGCCTTACCTGTTTGAATAATCACACTTCTGACAAGGCTGCAATTAGCTAAGATTGATACAAAGTTCAGGGTCAGGGGGCTGTATAAATTGGCTCTTGGATCAGATATGTTTGTGTTGTGAATGGATGGCGTGTCAGATAGTTGGACTGATCTCTGTCAGAGGAGAAGGTCACTCAGTGGCCACCAGTACAGAAGGATATAAACTGTGGATGAATTTCCTTGAGCATTTGTGTTATTTGTGCATGTTTCTTCCAGTGAAAGGCTCAAGCAAAGACATTCCTGTTCCTAAAAGTCAGCGAATGATGGTGAAGTTTTCTTGGTTCATATCTTAGATGTTATTACTGTTTTTCTTATACATTTTATTGTTGGATGTAACTGGGACCCTGTGTACATAATTTCGCTCCACCACATGTACCACATGAGGTGCGAATGACAATAAAGAAACTCTGACTCTGAAGATGACGTGACTGACCTCCTAACCCATTTACCGGCAGCTCGGAAAGTCAGGATTAGACTTTGACTTTAAGGAAGCTGACAGCAGCTCACCTTCAGTCAGGCTGAAATCACGTGTTTGTCTCAGGTTTAAGTTTCTGAATTTACTTCTAAAAAAAGATCGCTGCCTCCATGTTTTGGATGGATTCCATCTGCTTTTTATTTCTAAAAGCTGTCGAGTTTTAAACGCCCAGACAACAACGGAAAAATGTTTGAGATTTTAAGAAACTAAAGATACTTTTACAATAATTGTACTTTTAATTGTATCACACAAGAATCTAATGCCGCTGCCCCAGAAAACACAAAAACTGAAGTAAATGTATGATTCAGTCAATAAAATCATTTGGAAAAGCTTTTAAACTGTAGCACCAACGACTCAAATGCTCTGGCTTGGTTTTGCAGTTCCAACAGACTCTGAAGAACATTTCATTCTGCAGTTCTTCTTTTTAACTGGAGTTAGTGGGAGAGATCATATCTCTCCAGTTTTAGTTTCTCTCCATTGGCTCCCTGTCAAATCCAGAATTGAATTCAAAATCTTACTTCTAACCTACAAAGCCCTCAACAACCTAGCTCCATCTTACATTTAAGATCTTATTGTTCCATATTTTCCTAACAGAGCACTCCACTCTCAGACTGCAGGCTTACTCGCGGCTCCACTTCTTACATATTACAAACCAATCTGTAATTTTACATTGAATACCTCAAGATATTATCAAAAGTTTATGATCTCACATCTTTACACAATTTTTTTTATTGTAATTAAATGTGAGATTGATGGATTTAACAAACTGTAATATGTGTCATATTATTACCGTCAATAAGTTTATTCCCGTTAATAGTCAATGTGGCTCCTCAGACTGATGAAGTCCTTCGGATGAAGGATGAAACATTTCAAAATAAGAAGCCATCCAGAGGACCTAACTTTGTTGGATATTCCTTTTAATGCAACAAAAGAATTAGAATAAAAGTCTTGCTTTATTTTTTTAAACCTCACGTTGGAGTCAGATTGCTGTTTGAGGCACTTGTTCATGTTTTTGAGACATGCAATGAAAAAAAGGTAAACATGCAAAGTCAGAAACAATGAATTTAAACTTTTATTCAGGAGTGCTAATAAATAAAAGATGCCTCTGTTTTATGGTGACAGCTCATCTGTTTGTCCTGAAGGTGCACAAAAAGCATCTACGTGAACAGAAAGAGGCTAAATACCAGATCTGTTGTGTTCATGTGCACATTAAAGTGTCAGTGATGTGTTTGGGATAAACACTTTGATGCTTTCTCAGTGGGAGTTATTTCATTGGATTCATGTGAGGGTTCTGTTGAGCACAAAGCTTTGCCAGAACCGGGTGTCACACTGCGGCTCCAGCACCAAGCCAACTGCATCTTTTCTCTCTCCCTCACACATTTGATGCTTCATACAAATGCCCCACTTTTATTTTTATCTCACAACTGTGAACATTTCCCCAAAGTGTTTATTGGCCCTGAAGTTTGAGTGATAGTGGGTTTGACCTCAGACAGGAAGAATGACTGTTTTAGGTTCCTCTGCAGACCCAAACAGACCAAATAACCTCTGAGCCCAGAGGAGCTCGCCGTGCCACACACGTGCCTGCACATTGAGACTTGCTTCTATTTGTGAATGTGGGTCAGACAAAGCTGTAGTATCCAGTGTTTACTGGAAACCTCTACCTGTCTAACAGGAGATTATCCTGGTGTCGTCATCTGTGCTCTGTGGGCTAAAAGCCGGGGGTTCTGGCCATGATTTTACACCAACCCAGGATGGAAATCAGAGCAGAGATCAAATATGTGTACACACACTCATGGTGTCTTTGTTTTTAATTTGTCTTATAGTTTTGGTGACGTTCTTTCACACTTCAGATGGGACTTCCCTCATTTTTATAATTTAGATCTAGTTTTGTAAAAGCATATGAAACAACAGTCATGGCAAACACTAGCTACACTAAAGTTGTGATTTTTTCCTAAAGGATGCTGATGAAATGATGCTCAGGGTTGATATCTTTCTCTTGATCACCCCACACACACACACACACACACACACACACACCTCCCCTTTCCACGCAGCCTGAAATGGTCCAGCCCTGATTTGCATAAGTTGTGTGCGGGTAGCTGCGTGGACCAGCAGGGGTGGGTTAGGGGAAGGCGTGCAGCGGACACATGAGCAGAGAGAGACGGACTGCGTGTGTGGAGTGGACAGTGAACTGATGCGGTCAGAGTTATGTTCTGTGCTCAGCCTGTCTCTGGCTCAGACGCTTCATCCATGTTCTGCTACAACATGAAGCCAGTGAGTAGATTTCCTTCTTTATATCTTTAAATATATATAGAGAGACTGATTTATTCTGAAAAGACATGAAGCTGTTAGTGTGTTTATTGACTATCAAATGTGTCTCTGCTTCTTGACAGTATTCATATTGCAGTAATGAACACGGCTGTTTGTCCAGAAGTTGTTTTTGCCACTTGTCCCAATTGTTGGACATGTAAAAGTTTTCTACTCAGCAGATTTAATTCAATACAACTCTGGTTCATGTGCATATTAGGGGAGGAAAAGTGTAGTTTTTTAAAGACGTCAACACCTGAAATGTTGCAAGTTTGTGAACGTAAAGCGTGGTCAAACATATGCTTCAAGAAAATCAATTTATAACTCATTTTTCTAATATTTGCACTGCAAAAAATACCCTGAATAAATGTTACAATAAGATTAGAGACTATAGAGACTAAATGAAGATTGATTTTTCTTTTTGTTTTCTGTTTTCCCACATTAGTCCAAGTGTTTAAATGAATGTTTCATATTTCTTCTACACTGAGCCTAAAAAAACAACTCTTTGTTGAACTGCCACAGAGATACTTCCTGTTTGCTCGTGGAGTCGAGCCTGGCAGCAGAAAACATCTTGACATGAAGCAGATTGCTTCTATTTCTATTTGATTTAAGCCTGCTACGTTGGAGCAGCCCCTGCACGGCCGCAGCCATTATCAAAGGCAGCTTTGATCTCCGAGAGGCTAACCATATCCAGACATCGTGGATCACAGAGGCAGAAAATTGGTTGCATGTGGCCGGAGTCGCATTGAAGCTTGGGCCTTGAATAACAAGTTGATGCTTCACTCGTCTCCCGTCTTGACGCCGCGTTTTGCTCGCAAATGGAAACTATCCCTGACTATAAGTGTTGGCTTTTAAAATAAAATATTGATTTATTGTATTCCACTTTCTTCTAAATTTCAGCTTGAAGCGCGAAGAGAGTGGAGGGGGTGGTGTGTGTAGGGGGGGAGTCCATTATCATTTGTGATTTGATGATTGATGGTTCCTAAATCAATGTTATGCTAAAAGAGGATACCATGGTGATGGACTCCCCCCACCACCCCCTTTTCCTGGCCGGGGCCAGAGAGAGGGCGTGCTGGGGCGGGGGGTGTGACCATTATTAACGGGTCGCCTGCTATGCTGATGGTAAGGAGGACAATTGGCTTTATCCTCTGCCATATGCTGCCCACGGCGGCTCAGACGGACCCGGTGTCGACAGGGGCTCTTCTGTTTGGCTGAGCCCACAATCACCATGGGACTCGTGCCAACCAGGGTCACGGCTGCGGGCGTGTGTGTGGCTGCAAGCGTGAGCCTCGCACGAGCGTATACTCAGGAGAGTCTTTAATAGGCTGCTTCACAGAACTTGTCGTCTGGGTAACTGACACCCCATTGACGCTGTGCAGAGGTTTATTTTAATTTCCTGGGGCACATCAAAGCAACCAGGAGCTGGCAGGTGCAGCCCAGGCCTCTTGGTGGGCCCGAGTGAGCAACCGTCTTATCACTTTGGGTGCAGATGCATCATGTTGATGGGCTCCAAATGAACATGATGATTCTGGTCTCCTCTTTAGAGGATGATTTATGAGAACACTTGAATTGTAAATTTGTTTAGTTAAGAATTATGTCCCAGTCTTGTGAGGCTGCAGCCAAACCTGATCGTGATTAGTGCTGGGATTTCTCATGGTGAATGGTTCCTAAATCCGGATAAGGAGGTGCATGGATCTGCAGCTTACGGATTATGGCAGTAGCTCTAAGTGTGCATCAGCTTTCTGCTTTGTTTTGTTTCTATTACGCCGTGGCTTCGGCTCACACCTTTCAAACATTTCTTCCACTGATGTGGAATCAGATTCTTCCGAGTGACACAGAAAGAAATGTGATTTTCCCTCCCAGATAAGATGTTTGATCTTTTCAGATTTATGGGCAGCCTCTCAGCATGGACGGCTTCAACCAGAACTCGTCCTCACAACCGTCGAGCAAGACCCCCAACAACGTGTTTGCAAACGCGTTCTTTGGTGAGCTCAAATCCTCTAAAATGACCACGTTTGTGTTTTCACGAGGATCTGTTTGCTTACAGTTAGGTATTAAATGGAGAATTTGACATGTTGCTGGGATCACGTGAAACAGCACATTTTGGAAGAATCTGGATTTAATCCTGAAGTAGAAAATTAACCAATAAATAAAACTTATCCTGGTGGCCTTATTTCTCCTCTGAGATTATCATCAATTAAATGTGTTAGATTTTTATTCTCGTTAGTGTTTCATCTATTTTCTATGAGAACAAAGTGATTTAAAATTTAGTCTGACTAAAAAAATGTGTTTTACTTTGATTGACTGAAACCAAAGGTAATGCCGTTTTGGTTATGAAAGCATTTTTTAAAATCCACATTACTTTATTTTTAAGAAAAGCAATTTTCTTGTGTGTACAATAAGATTTGTATTTTAATCTCTGGTTTATTGTCTCCTTTTTTATTAGTAAATGTCTGTGTGTGTTTTTCTAGTGTGTTAGCAAAATATCGCATGAAACTGGCATAAAAGGTGGCGGGCAATATGTGTTGTTTCAAGAAATGCTTGGCTTTAAATTGTTTCTTCATTTTAAAAGAGATGATGCAGATTAGTGCAGGAGGAAACTTTTAAGTAGCTAATGTGCTTTTCACCATCAACAGTTTGTTCCTCTAATTAAGAAACTTAAAAATTATTTGACATGAAACATGAAAAAAAAAAAAAAAAGAAAAGAAAAATGTACCTTTTCCTTACACGTGTTTTCTTTCCTAAACCTTAGTCGGCATTTGTATTCCAGGAGCAGGCAGCTACACCGTCACCTCCTGATGACTCTAATCTTGTTAATTTGATTTAATGACCAAAGAATGAAACTGAATTGACACTGAGATTAAAAAATTACAACAAAGCTTCACTGAACGGCTAAAAAAATGTCAGAAAACGCTTCACAAGGTTAAAGTTGCTGAAAAATCTAAATTTAGCACAGTACAATGGAATAACATCAAAAGATTCAACCTTAACTGAGGTTTTGCTGTAAACATGTGACCTGACCCAACACGTTGTCTGCAGTTTAGTTGTGGAAACAACGTTACGAGGACTCCGGTGTTTTCAGAGGAGGCCTTGTCTTTCTATAATAAGTGCTATATGTTGTCATCACTGTTTGTTCCCATACAATGGCAAAATTGGCTCTCTGCGTTTAACCCATCGCACCTGGGCTACATCCAGGTGGAGCAGTGGGCAGCTATGTAAGCGCCCGGGGAGCAATTAGGGATTGGGTGTCTTGCTCAGAGACACCATGGCATGTGAGAATGGCTGGGGATCGAACCTGGGACTTTCGGGTCCCAGGTCAGCTGCCCTGCCTCTAGCCCATCTCGGCTTGACTGTTTGAGATGCGGCTCCACTTTCAGGCAATAACGCTTCATCTTTTATTTTAGAGGGGATGAGCAGTTCGCCCGACATCTGGAACGCTGTAAACGGGCTCAGCCAGCAGGGCTATGAAGGAGCGCTGGGAGTCACCCCAAGCCACCAACCACCGGCGGGGAGCTACAGTAACCTGGTCAGCTCATCTCCTCTGCCTCGGACGTTGACATTAAGCAGCATTTTCTGTGTGAGTGGGTTTAACGGAGAGTTTCTGTGTGTTCAGGACTTCTCTCCACATTCAGTGCTGGCTGCTGACATGAACCGAGCTCTTCCACCGATGTCCACCTTTCACCGCAACAATGTGGTTCCTCGCACTCCATCAGTCAACACCTCGGAGCATTCCACAGGTGAGGGTATGCTTGTGCTGTAATTATTTTAATTATTTTTTTACAACTTTACAACGGTCGTTTTCTGTTCAGTTTCAGGAAGCCATGGAAATGTGTCAGGAGCCTCCCAGACAGGCGATACTCTGGGAAAAGCTTTGGCCTCGGTAAGTACGCGCCACCTCAATCCCATTAGGGCAGCTCATCTATGCCCCTGTTATGCTCAAGCCGTCAGGTCAGGTCATAAAACCAGGTCTTTAGAGACCCAGAGGAATAATGCAGAACTTGCTCCCTGCCAGTGGCAAGGCAGTAATGAAAGAGGGGCTGCTCTCAGATACTAAACCTCTTTGATTGGCTGTAAAATGACAAGAACTGATGAGTTTAGTTCAGGTTACGAGGGTCCGCAGAGGGTTGTGGCAGCAGCTGTTAGAGCTTACACAGAAATGATAAGGTGATCATTTTCCCTCTGTCAGATTTATTCCCCGGATCACACCAGCAGCAGCTTCCCGTCCAGCTCCTCCACTCCAGCCAGGTCTCCATCCCCACCACCCGCTGAAGCTACAGGTACAATAGAGTAACTCCCACAGCTAGGCATTGCATGAGTGAAATATTATTTATATTCTTTCATTTCATACTTTTTGTTCTGCTTTGACTCTTTTTCCACAATACTCAGGCACCAACGTGTGGTCTCGCAGTTCAGTTCAGGCACCTGTGTCACCGCACTACGAGTCCTCGCTGATATCAATGGTAAAAAAACTTTTTCCTGCAGTTTATACTTTACTATTGACATAAAAGATGCTTTTATAGTAATAATATTAATAAATGATCAATTTCATTCAAGAGAGCTTTGTGATAAATGTTACATTTTGACAAAATGTCAAGTAAGATAAACATACAAATGTATTGTAAGAGTTTATAACTATTAATAAAACACTGTACGCACATTTAGTGAAGTGTTAAAGAACAGTGTAGATAGTTTTATACTAATACATAAAAAGTACACATTACTGCGTCATTTTTCATAAATTGTTTTCATCTGCTGCCATGAAAAGTGGGCAGTCGTGTGTATGTGTTTGTTTCTGTGTGTCAACAAAATATTTTATGAACCATTGGATTTATTTTAATGAAACTCTCAGGAAGTAATCAGTGGATGTACATCTACTGATTAATTTAGAAGTCAACCCAATTCAAGATGTTCGTCACAGCTTATCCACCTTAGCAAACAGAAAGATGGAGTCAATTATACAGACGTGTAACTAACATACAATGTGGTAGCAGCTGAGAGTCGTCCTCTACATGTACTTTGAGCCCTAACAGATGGAACATCTTTATTTACAGCAGCAGCAGACAACATGCTTCAAGGTTTAATTAGATTAGAATGTTTCCTAAAGTTTCAAAAGAATTAAATTGAAAATGTCCATGTTGAAGTTACATCAGTCTGAGTTGTTCTGATATTCTCAGGGTATATTTCCTTCAGATTTATTTATGCCACATAAAGGAACATGACAAAGAGACATATATCTCATGTGCACTTCAATCAGATTTAGGAAGCCCACAGTGGAAACTAGAAAAACATTTATTTAAAGCTTTGCACTAATATGGACACAATCAGACAAGGATTATGTTTAGGATTTAAGGGTTAGAGTGGATTTAAATTCAGGGGTGGGGGTTGGTGATTATTAATCAAATTGGACCCTGGGAACTGAAGGCCCTGGGAGTTCATGGAGAATCCCATTCAGCCACTGTCCTAAAACTATGACTGCTGCATTGTAACAAATCTGCCAGACTTTAAGCGATGCTCTCACTGTGTAACAATAAATAAAAATTATCTTCTAAAATGGTTTGCCAGTATTCCATCAAACTCATGAAAGGACCCGTTCTCTTGAAATTTCAGTCTTTATGCAAATCTAGGTGATTTAACTGTGGCTTTAGATTAAACTTCAGTAGTGTTTCCTCTTTTCATCCATATGCCCACAGTGTTTGGGTGAGAAAAGCTGAGATTTAAAAAACAACTTTCCACAATGAAGGGTCTTTGAAATTTAATTTCTGTTTAAAAGCATGCTCGTTGTTACTTTGGGTCATGGAAACCACAACAACAATGGAGCGGTTTTTACTGTCTTTTTTTTTTTTAATCTACACTACCTCCCTTTACCCTGGTCTTGTTGCCATTAAACTTTGATCATGAGCTGAATACTTGGGCTAATAATTTCAGGTCTCTCTTGTAAATGAGTCCCCCTTTAAATAAAGGTTGAATGAATGAAAATAACTGAGAGGAAGTGATGCTCTCCACAAAGATGGTCGCTTTCACCAACTCCTCCCTCCTTCCTGTTTTTTTGCTCTCTTGTCCTGTGAACCTACTAAGAGCCTCTCTTTACATCCATCCATCCATTATATTTTACCCGCTTCTTCCATTTTGGGTCATGGGGGTCGCTGGTGCCCATGTCCAGCAATCACTGTGCGAGGGGCGGGGTACACCCTGGACAGGTCGCAAGTCCATCACAGGGCCACATAGAGACAAACGAGACAAACAACCATTCACTCTCTCACTCACACCTAGAGACAATTTAGAGTTACCAATCAGCCTAACATGCATGTTTTTGGTCTGTGGGAGGAAACTGGAGTGGCCGGAGAAAACCCACACATGCACTGAGAGAACATGCAAACTCCACCCAGAAAGGCCCCTGGACCGGGATTTGAACCAGGGACCTGCTTGCTGAGAGGCAGCAGCTCTACCAGTTGCACCACCGTGCTGCCCCCCTCTCTTTACACATCTTCTGAATCAAAATTTATAATGGATCTGCTCAGCTGGTCTCTCAATGCAATCGATAAACTTTTACAAGAAGACAGGGTGAAGGAGAGCCCTCTTCTCTGAAACATAATTGGATTTATGATAACTGGATTCTGCGTTTTGGAGTCGGTGGAAATCTGGATTGTCGACAAATTCAGAAATGCCAGCAGCAGCTTAAGCTGTCTGGAATGTGTGTGCCGGTCTTGGCAACACTCAGACTGTGTGAGAACTATCTGTGGACCTGTATCAGAGCTGAGCAGGCAGGACTGTGGAACTTTGTGGCAGAGTTCACGGACAGTTGGAAGGAAGAGATCTTGGAGAAGTTGTAAGCCTGACTTCAGCAGAATGTCCATGGATCTGGTTGTTTGGATTCGCCAAACTGAAGGCAGACATGTCAGTAGAGTCTGCCTGCCGAAAACAATTGTTGTTTGTCTTAATTTGGTCTCTCCGCTGGCCTTGGACAGGCCAACTTATCTCAAATTGCTCCTGGAGGATACATAAA